TTCTGGCCAGTCTCGGATGCACTCTCTCCTGTGTCCTAGGTTATGTCAATACTGCAGTTGGAGGATGTGATTTCCACATGAGCAGAAATACTGACACTCAGTTTAACCTAAATATAGCAGTGAAGGAGTGGTGGCAGGGCTTCAGCACAGGCTGTGAAAACCACCTGGAATTCTGGGTGCATACTCATGTTTCTAAGCCTACACCCTTGTGTATTTCCTGCTATATTTAGTGAGCTAGCTAGATTAAAGGTAGTGTCTACACAAGCTGCAAATCACACTTCTAATTGCAGTGTACATATATTGTCTGACCCATATCACTCATCTCCCCCCACCTATATCAGTTCATTGGCATGTGTTAAGTGAGAAGTCCAGTGATGATCAAGAGGGCTTGTGCAGTGTATTGTACCTGAAATCTGTCACTAAACATGTGTATCCACTTGAACTGATTCATTTTCCTATCAGATAGCCTTTCTTTCCGTCCACAAAGTGTTGTTTCCTAATCCATTCAAGGGGGTATGCAATGCAGAGTTGTCTGTTAAAACTTGGTTGATAGACACAATAGATTCATTGAAATGTTTTACATCCTTGAGAGGAGAGGATGTTAATTAACCTCCTTTCTCATGTTAAATCCTTGACTGAGTAGACAGTCTCTGGTTTGCTAGTTTAGATCTGTTCAATGTCTCTTGGAAATGGAAATGAAGATGATGGGTATACATAATGCAATTTTCATATGAATTTTATTCCATATTAAATAACAGTACTTGTTTACAAAAATATGCATTAGTTTTAACTGCCAATGCTGCAGACTCATAGAATAATAGAATCATAGAACTGGAAGGGACCTCGAGAGATCATCAAGTCTAGTCCCCTGCCCTCATGGCAGAACCAAGTAGGGTCTATATCATCCTTGATAGAAGTCTAGCTAGCCTGCTCTTAAATATCTCCAGCGACGAAGATTCCACAACCTCCCAAGACAATTTATTCCAGTGTTTAACCACCCTGACAGTTAGGAAGTTTTTTCTGTGGGCCAAGGTAAACCTCCCTTGCTGCAGTTTAAGCACATTGCTTCTTGTCCTATCATCAGAGGTCAAGAAAAGGCCTCCCTCCCCTCTTCCCGTGACACCCTTTTAGATATCTAAAAGCTGCTATCATGTCCCCTCTCGGTCTTCTCTTTCCAAATTAAACAAGCCCAATTCCTTCAGCCTTGCCTCATAGCTCATTTTGTTCTATACCTTTAATCATTTTTGTTGCTCTTCTCTGGACCTTATCCAATTTTTCCACATCTTTCTTGAAATGTGGTGCCCAGAACTGGACACACTATTCCAATTGTGGCCTAATCAGTGCAGAGTAGAGTGGAAGAATGACTTCTCGTGTCTTGCTCACAACACTCCTGTAAATGCATCCCAGAATCATGTTTTCTTTTTTATAACCGTCACACTGTTGACGTGTTTAGCTTGTGGTCCACTATGACCGCCTAGATCCCTTTCTGCAGTACTGCTTCCTAGACAGTCACTAAGATCTAAATTTCAGACTGTTTTTGAAGTCAGTACCACCTAGATTTGTATGATCAAAAGAAGGGGAAGAAAAGAATTAGGGGGTCTAATATTCCAAATTGTATTCATGTGAACTGACCCATTGGAGACAGTGAGAATAATCACCTCAGTAAAGATTTACAAGATTTGACTCATAAACTGCAATCGTAGAAACATCAGAGAAGCTGATCCAGTTTACAAGAGGATTTTCATTCTTTTAATTCTGGAGGCAAACATTTATGCCAAATGAATGTAAAAACAATGACAATAAACGCTATTAAGCATTCTAAACTAAACAATTAATCTTCCATAAACAATTCTTTCAAAATAAAGATGTTTAAAAATAGCAGTGTAGCAGCTCTAAGAGGACTCTGGCCATCATCAGGGAGCTACATCCTTTGGGGTATTAAAAGTACTTGACTGGGCTCCTTGCGTTCTAATCAGCCAATCTTGTTATGCCTTCCTGCTTCATAATTATAGATCTTAATAAGGAAGATGAGTTTGATTAAAAACATAAAATAAGCATTACAAGTAACGTGATTTCCACGGGGAGAAGATTTGCTTAGTTTTGGATGCTAGCGGGAATGTGACTTTAATCCAATCACTAGTAACCCTCTTATTCTTAATATTCTTAAGATATAAATAAACTGCATGATTTAATGAGATGTCAGCATCAGAGACCACTTCTGAGAAAATGCAATGAAGTGAACTACAAAGAAGTGGAAATAATGGACCAGATTGCAGCTCAGATATACTACTAACTTGCTATGACAATAAAGTTTATGATATATACATTTTTGTTCATTCAAACAGCTTGTTAGAGCACAGAGGCATGTGTGCTTTCCTCCCTCCCCCGTCTAGGAGCTGGGCCTACTGCTAGCTGCTTCTGGGGCCCAGTGCAGTCTGCAGTGCCAAGACAGGCAGGTAGCCTGCCTTACCACCTCCACTAGCCACCTGATACCCCTCCAGCAATGAGACCCAGTGCTTGACATTCCACAACCCAGTATTCAGTCGCAACCCATAGTTTAGAAAACCACTGCCTTGGATTATAAGATATCACAAGACAGAATGCTGTAATAATGAAACTTCTGACAGGTAACCATTAGACTAATTGATATATATGCTAATAAGCTTGAGGTAAAAGTCCTAGTAATGCAGAGAGAAGGGCACCCCAATATTAATGGGGTGTGGAAGTTCAAATAAGGAAAAGGGCTGAACCCTCTACTGAATATTAATTAGGATAGTGGCATCACTGTAAACACAACATAAAAGCTGTGTCCTGGCATCCTGTGCCTTAGAAGATGGCAGGATTATGGCCACTAGTGCCGAGGATGATTAACACTTAGGCTGTGTCTAGACTGGCATGATTTTGCACAAATACTTTTAACGGAAAACTTTTTCTGTTAAAAGTATTTGCGCAAGAGAGCGTCTATACTGACTGGCATGTGCCTTTGTGCAAATGATTTGCTTTTGTGCAAAAGCATCCGTGCCAGTGTAGACGCTCTCTTGCGCAAGAAAGCTCCAATGGCCATCGGGCTTTCTTGTGCAAGAAATTAACTTGGCTGTCTACACTAGCCCTCTTGCGCAAGAATACTTGTGATCTGCAGCTATTTTTCTAATACTGAGTTCAGGAATGAATTTGAAACTGTTCTTAATGATAACATTTCTTATCCTTTTCAGCTTTTATTGAAGCTACCCTTAGTTATCAGACCTTTCTTAGCAAATTTTTTGTCTGAAGACCATTGATCATCCTTCCTCTTATGTGGGAAGTGAAAAACCATAAAGGAAAACCTACACAACCAGAGCGGATGATACTAAAGTTAATTGCAGTACTTCACCAAAGGACTGGCCCCATTCCTAATTCACACTTTCACTATTTGACTTTGTATACTTGGGACCAAATGTTCAATCTTGGGTGCCTAAAGTTAGGCATTTAAATCCAAGGATAGGCACGTAAATAAAATGGCCTGATTTTCAGAGATGCTGAGCTTTCACAGCTCCCATTGGCTTAAAATTGGGCCATTTATTTAGGTGCCTTAAATATAGTCATTGAAGTATGAACAGTTTATACTGTCTTTGTATTTCATTTAAAAAAATCTTTATAAAGCTTACTTATTAATTCAAAACACTCCAAGTGCCTAGAATGAGATATGATTTATATATATAGGCCCCCTTTACTATTGGAGCCTCTGAGCATGTCTACACTAGGAAATTATTTCAGAATAAGTTATTTTGAAATAACTCCACAATAACTATTTTGAAATAGTGTGCCCACATTACAGGAAAGCCTTGAAATTAGCATATCCACATTAAGGGAGCCTGCTTCGGACTAACTAGACTTAGAGCCCTGGGAAGTGCTGGGGAGTAATTACTTTGAATGGCTGTGGGATGTAGTTATTTTGAAATAGCAGTAGTGGATTGTCATGGAAAGCAGGAGTTATTATTGTTAAATAACCAGGCCCTTATTTCAAAATATTGGGCTTGGTCGTATGGACGCTCTTTGTTATTTCAAAATAAGGGGAGTTTTGAAATATCTCCCTAATGTAGACCAGGGCTGTGACTTACTGAGAGGATCCTTTATGCTGCAATCTAGCCCTAGATACTATGGTATGTCTACACTACATGGCTCTGTCGACGGAGCCATGTAGATGAGCTTTGTAGACATAGGAAAATGAAGCGGCGATTTAAATAATCGCTGCTTCATTTACATCAAAATGGCTGCTGTGTTGTGCCGATCAGCTGTTTGTTGGCACAGCGCAGTAGTCTGGATGCTCCGTGGTCAACATCAAAAGCCTTTGTCGACCGCCCTGTTATGCCTCGTGAGGTTTACCGGGGCGGTCGACAAAGGCTTTTGATGTCGACTGCAGAGCGTCCAGACTACCGCGCTGTGCCAACAAAAAGCTGATTGGCACATATTTTCTTATGTCTACAAAGCTCATCTACATGGCTCCGTTGACGGAGCCAGATAGTGTAGACATACCCTATGACTCCCAGAATGGCCTGGGAAAAAGGAGGGAAACTATTGCTCTCTTGTAGACAGTGCAGAGAGAGAGAGGGTGGGCTCCATTTTTTGGAGAGAGGAGCCAGATGGCTGATATGGAGCCTTGTACAATCAAAAAGCTGCTGCTGGAAGTTAGAGCCTGCTTGAGGGCTGTTCATGATTCTCCCTGAAGGAGAGAGACCCTGGCTGTGCCTGTCACGGAGAAGGGCCTGCATAGAAGTAACTGTGGCTGTTTGGGAAAGCGCTGCCTGGGATGGAGCACAGAAGACAGACTGACTCTGGGTCCGAAGAGAGGCGAGTGATTTGCCCAGTGAACCAGAGCTGCTGACATTTGGTGGGGCCAGCTCCAGCATCAGAGGAAGTTTGCAGTTTGTTGCCTGCTTGGATTGACACACACAGAACCTGCACAGAGCTGTCTCCACTCCAAGTGAAGATCTTCAAGTGTGCTCATGCAAGCGTCTGGGACTCTGCGATCCAGCGGAATGCACACTCTGAGGTGGGCTAAATGGTGGCAGGGTAAATGGCAGTCAGATAAGTGTATCAGTTATTTCTGTGTACTTTTAAATTTTGTTTTACTCAATTTTAGTCTGTTAAACCTTTTTTCTTTAAGTTGTTAAGTGAAGGTGTGTTAATTCTAATTTAATCAATTAGATGTATATTATTTATAATTGTTGTTTTGGAGTGAGATCCAAATTACTACTGGAATAAGTTTATTCCTGGAGGTTCCCAAGGCACACCATTAAGTGTGTACAGAGGCCAGTGAGGTGGAGGCACTGCCATTTTATATTCCTTTAGAAGAAAGGGACTGCAGCAAAGAGATGAATATGGGATCCCCAATTATCCCACATCACCACAGGAATAGTCAGGATCTCCTTTAGTATTAAAAACATCAGGTGCCAGGTGAGCATTGCTTGCTCTTGAGTAACCCAGGAAAGAAAGAGGGGGTTAGATATATAAATAACATTTACTATAAGAAATGGAAAAGAGATCTCTTTGGGCATGACTAGACGACATTTTTCTTTCAAAAGAAAATATGCAAATTCAGCATGAATCTGCATATCTTCTTCCAATCGCTTTTTCGAAAGGTTTTTTTTTTTGAAAAAGCAAGCAGTGTAGATGGGTTCTTTCGAGAAAATAAACCCTTTTTTCGAAAGAACCCTTCTTCCTCAAAAAATGAGGTTTACAGAGTTATTTCGAAAAAGGGTTTTTTCCCAAAAGAACTGCGTCTAGACTGATTGCTTTTTAGAAAAAAACCTCTTTCGAAAAAGCAACTGGAAGAAGATATACAAATTCGTGCCAAATTTGCATATCTTTAGAAAGAAAAACGTAGTCTAGACGTGACCTATAAATCACTTGTTGCTCTTGAAGTTGACTGTGTCACTTAGAAAACTTTTCAAGGGGACAAGTTCACTTTCACAATAACTAGTAATATAATACTGTTGTTGCTGGGTAGATAAAATAAATTAAACTGACAAACACTGATAAAGTGCTGCAACAATATGAGAGTTGTTGACTAGCTTTTGATCACGTTATGTTTTATTTATTGAGTATAATTCAGTTTGAACGAAATGAAATAAAGTCTCCAAGCTGCTTAAAACGTAAGTGGATTAGCTATTCTGCATAATGGACTAGTAAGCAGAAGACCTGTACAGACTGAGGATACACAATTCCATTTTAAAAAGTTAAACAGAGTGCTGCTGACAACTCCACAAAGATAACAACCAAGTGCTAGGCAGTTCACCACACTAGCTCAGTAGAAATTCCCTAAGCAATGGTTCCCAACCATCAGGCTCAGAACCAGTGATGGGCTGTGAACCACTGGCCAGCAGGTCGCGGCAGCTCTGGGAGCCAGGGCTGGGATACACTGCTCTGTACCTCCCCTTCTGCTGTGGCTGTTGGGAGACGCATGTCCTGTCCCATCCCTCAGCCAACTAGTACCAGGCAGATGCGGGGTCTCCTCCCGGACACGGAAGAGTGGTTTGCTGCATGGCAGGAGGGCCACACGGAGCTTGGCATGGTAGCCTTAGAGCAGCTGTGACCTGGGTAGCAGTGCTCAGCAGGCAGCTGGGAGGCAGCGCAGGGTTAGGTAGGTGTGGGGTGGGGCTATTGTTTGGGGGCTCTAGGAGGTGGGGGCTAACACTGGGGTATCCTGGGTGGGGAGCTGACACTGGCGGGTTTTGAGGGGGGGCTAGTAGTGGGAAGGTACAGGGGGGCACAGGGACGGGGCTAATTGGGGACTGATAACATTTTATTTGCATATTCATTATGCAAATAAAGAATATGTAAATAAAATGTTACTGGTCCACCAAAAGTTTGTGAATGGAGTTTGCTGATCCACAGTATTGAAAAGGTTGGGAACCGCTGCCCTGAAGTATGAAAACAGCACAGGCGGGATTTCATGGCAAAAGAGGCAATTAAAATTCACTCATGAGAGGATATTTGTTACAAAAAAGACAATGACAGGTGATCGAAATCTTGTTTTTAAAAATAAGACCAGCAGCTAATGTAAGAAATCAACCAATTAGCAGCTTAATACCAAACACAAACTTAGAAAAATGTTAACAGTGAAGATGGAAGTCACTTTCTTCTGTCACAATCCCCTTTCTGTCATTATCCCATTTGGATAATGAACATTTCTGTACATAAAACTAAAATTGACCTAATTGGTTGCAATAATTTGTCTTTGATCAGTAAAACTGACTGGTACTTCATTTATCCTTCAAAATGTGTGGGCCTGCTCCCATTGAATCATGTTTCTGAATTCTACTGGAGCAGGACTTTGGCTGTTATTGGTGTGCAGGAGGAAGGAAGGAGGGTAGAGAAAGAGAAGTGGGAGAAGGTTAAAGTAAAATAGAACAGTTTGGTATAAATCATTAACACTGGAGAAAATATATATTTAACTGTACACACAATACCCTGTTCTTCATGGCACATCTTATATTCTGATGATATTTACAGAGCATTTATGGAAGAAGTGTGTAGTCTAGGATGCCAGAAAAGCCAAATGATGTAATATTTACTTAAGTAATTACACTATAATATAAACCACAGAATTGGCAGCTGAAACACAAATTCATGAATTACTGTACTGTTTCGTTATTACTGTTCAATACCCACTCATTTAATACATTTCCCTGATTTTCTTATGAATACACTACACACTTTCCCCATCCTGCACTCTTTTGGATTCATGCAGTCATCTGATAAGAAGGGGTCATCTACAGATGCACTGGGGATTGAATTTGAAGGACATTTCAAGAGCAACACAGGCAGAAGCTGTCCTGCATGGATACTTTCTCCCTACAACGCTGTGACTTTTGTCCTATCTGTAGCAGCATGGCTCATCTTCAAGTCACACAGCCATTGTCTGCTCACTAGAAATCATAAAGAAAACCAAAAAAGAGTTGAAGCAGCAATAAACTATCACTCTGCTAGAATATCTATCGGCTCATCAGGGAATGATGATATGAAGTTCAGCATCTCCCTTGGTCCCTTGCTTATGAAAGGAGCACTGCATGAAGGGTTAGAGGGGATGCTCTTGCCCAAGCCAACTTAAGGATGGTGGGGCTATTACATACTTTATTCTATTTACTAGGGGCCCAATACCACTATCATTGAAATGAAAAGTTTTTCAATGTGGTTTTGTGCTGCAGTACTGCAAGAACAGTATTTGACATATTACAAATAACTTTTAGCTGCTTCCAGAAATGATGTGATTTTTTTCCCCTGATATTTTTTTTTGTTTTTCCTCACACTGCTGTGCCCTCTAGTGGCCTTAGCTGTTAGACAAAAGATAAAGTGTTTCTCATTTAAGCAATTTAATTTAAGCTGCTTAGCAAAAAGAAAAATCATAATTCAATCACTAGGACATATCAGTGGGGACATGCTGATATGTCAACACTGCTGAAAATTGAGCCCTCGGAGTGTGAATTAGGATTTAAAAAATATGCATATAGAGTCTGAACCTCTCTAGTCTGGCACCCTCAGGACTTGACTGGTGCTGAACCAGAGAGGTCAATATGGTCTAGCAGCATTACCAACACTTCCACTGCTTGCTGGGCTCTTAGAGCTAAATAACAGCACAGAACACTGAGAGCCAGGACTAGTGGCTGTAAACAAACTTTGAGGCCATGAGAAACTTGGCCACACCCATAATAAGTGGCCATCTGGTTAACTAAAAACATGCTGGACCACGGGTGTTGCCAGACCAGAGAATGCCAGTCTAGAGAGGTTCAACCTGTATATGAATCTCACCTCTCATATCTACCTTATGTCTAAGATATTTTCATCAGAATAATTTTTCCCAGGGATAGAGAAAATGAAAGAAGGAGAAAATATTAGAAATAATAAAAACCCAATATAAATAAAATTGTAAAATAAAATAATTATTTGGACAATTTACAAAAAAGCTATTGTTTAAGAAAAGACACTAGTTTTAATGACAGATGGTAGTGCTCAATATCGTATAAATACCTGATAAATGTGTCAGTATATAACATTTGTTTATTCTGTACCAAAAGCAGTGCTCTGGTAAAATCTCAGATGCAATATAAAACTTCATATAGATTTACTTATACACCTATAAATCTACTGTTCATAGAAATTATGCCACCTAAGAATACTGAAAAAATTGTAATTCTGAAGGTAAGATAGAATGCTTGTCTGTAAAAGTAAAAATGTTTTGAGGAGTACACCATCGGTAATGCCAAAAATGGAAAAAATCAGAGACAGGCCCCAAAAAATCATGATACTGGCTGAGATGAGCTTTTTAAAAAATGCTGCGTTCTTTTCATTTTCTTTCTAGTTTTGGGGGAGATTAGGATTAAAACTTTCGAGTTTTTCTCTGCAACCATGAGACCTAAATATTTAAATTTAAAAATATTAAAGTCAACATGCAATTTCCTGACTTCAGGGGCTATGGGTTTTTTAAAAAACACACCAATAAATTGTGCAATGGGATTAAATTGCAAGAGTTGTCTGCACTAGGAGAGATTTGGGCTGCATTTAAAAATGTAAGAGGGCTACAACAGATTCAGGTTCGTAACTCTGAAAGTAGTCTTTGAAGTTGAAAGCTCAGAAATTTTTTTAAAAAGCCATTACAATTATCAAAATGCTGTTCCTAAAGTACAATACACTACTGCAAGAGCTCCTGATCAGAACAGAGGCAATTCTCTGAATTTCAAATTGCATTCTTCCATTGGATGCATGTGAGGTGCTTGCTCTACTCCTGCAAAACTACTCCTTCACCTTGGGGAACCTTGAACATCTTACATACATCTTTGTCTATTATAGGTGCTTATTTGCCTATGTCCCCATTAGTGGACTCTGAGCAGTTTTGACCCTATGAGTAACTGTGCCAAACAGCAAAGAGCTCCCTGGTATGTAACAGTAAAACTCACCTGGTCTGACCAGTTCAGTACACCTCAGACATGATGATATTTAATAAAAAGGCATCTTGTAATAAATAACTTGGATAGTAACAACATGCTGAACATT